CCTGTCGTTGGGGACATTTTGACATCATAGTCGGCATGGACTGGTTGGAACGGTTCTCTCCTATGAAGGTGCATTGGGGTAACAAGTGGATGATAATACCCTATCAGCAGTCACATGTCACCCTCTAGGGAATCACTGATGAGTACCCCCGCTGTGCATTTGTACAACTGTTCTAGATTTATGATGAAGCAAGTTCTTGCCAAGTTTCTGATGTGCTTCTAGAAGTGCAGAGTGTACTGGATGAATTTCAGGCCCTCTTTGCAGCACCATCTGAGCTGCCCCCATGATGTGCATGCGACCACCGCATTCCTCTCATTGCGGGTGCTCAACCAGTGGTAGTTCGTTCTTATCGGTATTCTCCAGCACTTAAATCAGAAATAGAGTCCCAAGTGACTGAGATGCTTCAATCGGGCATGATCTAGCCTAGTACCAGTGCATTCTCCTCACCGGTATTGCTAGTCCGAAAGAAGGATAAGTCTTGGGGGTTCTGCGTCGATTATCGGCTACTTAACTCCTTGACTGTGAAATCCAAGTTTCCAATCCCGGTCATCGATGAGCTATTGGATGAGCTTTCTTCGGTCCGCTGGTTCACTAGTTTGGACTTATGTGCCGGCTTCAATCAGATTCGGTTAGCTCCTGGAGAGGAACATAAAATGGCATTCCAAACTCATTGGGGACACTTTGAATGGATTGTAATGGCCTTTGGTCTAACAGGGGCTCCGAACACATTCCAGGGTGCAATGAATGTGACTCTAAAACCTCTCCTCCGCATATTTGTGCCCGTCTTCTTCGATGACATACTTATTTATAGCAAGACCCTCGAGGAGCATGTGGAGCATATCAGACAAGTGTTTCATCTGCTGGCAAAAGACAAATGGTTGCTGAAGCGCTCTAAGTGCCAGTTCGCACGGCAAAGTATCGCTTATTTGGGGCATGTGATCAGCGTAGAGGGGGTGGCCATGGATCCATCGAAGAAACAGTCTATTCATTCATGGCCAACTCCTACTGATGCAAAACAGTTACGCAGTTTCTTGGGGTTAGCCGGATATTATAGGAAGTTTGTGCGGCATTTCACCATCCTGGCCAGGCCTCTTAATGATCTGCTCAAGAAAGGTACTATGTTCCTGTGGACATCAGTACATGATGGGGCGTTTACTTCTCTCAAGAATGCATTGGTCACTGCTCCGGTTCTTGCTCTTCCCGACTTCTCTCGACCATTTCAAATACAGACCGATGCTAGTGACATGGGAGTGGGTGCAGTTTTGCTCCAAGATGGACATCCTCTTGCTTTTATAAGCAAAGCTCTAGGCCCCCGAACGAGAAGTTTGTCTACTTACGAAAAGGAGTATTTGGCTATCATGGTGGCTGTTGACCAGTGGCGCTCGTACCTTCAGCACGCCGAGTTTGTTATCTTCTCGGACCACCGCAGTCTGTCCCATATTGCTGATCAGCGCCTGCACACACCATGGCAGTTGAAGATGTACACCAAGTTGGTTGGGCTTCAGTACATGGTTGTTTACAAGCCGGGCACCTCCAACATGGCTGCTGACGCCTTGTCCCACCATCCGGCTCCTCCTGCGCAACTCAACGCAATTTCCTATTCCACACCAGAATGGCTATCTGAAGTTGTTGCTGGGTACGACAGTGATCCTGCTTCTTCTAAGTTGTTGCAGGAGCTAGCAGTTGCTCCTTCTTCGCACCCACCCTTCACATTGGTCAGTGGAGTTCTTCGTTACCGGGGCCACGTGTGGATTGGCTGCAACCACAAGCTGCAGCAATAGATCATTCAGGCCTTCCATGATTCCCTCTTGGGTGGACATTCCGGCTTTCCGGTCACTTATGCCAGAATCCGCAAGCTGTTCGCTTGGAAGGGTCTCAAGTCAGATGTCAGGGAGTTTGTCAGGGTTTGCACCACCGTCTTTAGGCTAAACCAGATCGCTGCAGGTACCCTGGACTCCTCTCTCCCCTTCCTGTGCCGACTGAATCCTGGTAGGTCATATCTCTTGATTTCATTGAAGGTCTTCCCCAGTCGGGTTCTGCAAACTGCTTGTTGGTAGTTGTCGATAAATTTAGCAAGTTTGCCCATTTCATTCCGCTACAATACCCTTTTACAGCACAGCAAGTTGCTAAACTCTTTCTTGATAACATCTACCGCTTGCATGGTTTGCCCACACACATCATTTCTGATAGGGACCGTATATTCACAAGCAATTTTTGGCGTGAACTTTTTCGCCTGGCACAAACTTCTCTATGCATGAGCTCTACTTACCACCCACAATCCGATGGGCAAACCGAACGAGTCAATCAATGCCTTGAAACTTTTCTTCATTGTTTCGTCCACACTTGTCCCAAGCAGTGGATCTGCTGGATTTCCCTTGCCGAATTTTGGTACAATGCTTCACCTCATTCTTCTCTGGGCCACTCTCCTTTTGAGGTCCTTTATGGGCACCCCCATGTCATTTTGGCATAACCACTGATTCAGCCATAGAGAACTCTGATGTGGAGACCTTCATGTCTGAAAGACAGGTCATGATTGCTGTTCGCCAGCACTTGCTTCGTGCTCAACAATGTATGAAACTTTAGGTGGACAAAAAGCGATCTGAGCGATCCTTTTCTGTTGGGGACATGGTGTACTTGAAATTACAGCCTTATGTGCAGAGTTCTTTGGCTCAGAGCACACCAAAAACTCGGTTTACACACTTTGGCCCCTACAAGATCCTCAAGCAATTGGTACAAAGCTTATAAACTAGAACTTCCTCCGAGCTCATCCATCCACCCCAGATTCCATGTGTCCATGCTTAAACCAGCGCCACCACACAAGTCACAGTGTATCACCGACATTCCAGAGAGTGATTTTGGTCTTCGTGTTCCCCGAGCTCATCCTCAAAAGGCGCCTTCATCCTCGCCAAGATGGTGTTGTTGCTCAAGTTCCGTGAAGTGGTCTAACATGGATGTGGACCTTGCCACTGGAAGATGTCAAGCATTGCATCGAAGTTCCTCTTACGCCCAAGATAGGGGCTTGGCTGGTTCCCAAGGGAGGGGGTGTCAAGACCCTTCCACCGAGGCGCCTCAAGACAATGGGCCTCGAAGGAGTAAGCGACGCCGCCCAGAGCTCTCGAGTCTTCGGCCCACAATGGGCAAGCATCAGTTGTTCCTGCGAGCCAGCTAAGGATAAGTAGCGCTAAGGCAAGAAGGGGAGACAAGCTTGTAAACATCAAACCAATTTCTATTATTCTACTGCTACTCAACTGGCCCTCGTGGGTCCGGGTACTCGTATCGTTGTTGTTCCGTTCTCGAGCTCGGCATCCCGGCGACGATCAGTCAGGGGTGCTGACATATATGTATTGGCCGGCTCATATTATTCATGTCTATCCACATGATGCAGTATACCGCAGCCATGATCTCACCAGTTCGAATCCGTGATCCTCGGCATAAGACAAGGCCAATTCCATTCCCAAAAACGACTCGCACCACATGATGATGCTGTAGCATGAACCCCTCCTCCTCCCATTGTCTCGCGACGGTCGGGGTGCGCAAGTACACTGAATCCCGGTCGCTTTCGCTATCCACAGCGAGCGGGGCCGTCCACGCCGCGAGCGATCCAAATCAAGCATGGGCAGCGAATGGCCGATGCGTCCAATGCAATGCATAGTCACAGCACACTCTCCTCGCGCTCTCGAAACGAAGAGGAAGAACCTAGAGACTTTCCCTGTGTGCCATTATAAAAGATCATAATTCCCTCTGTACCCCTAGAAAAATTCAGCGGTCTTCAGCGCTACTACTTCAACTTTTTTGGGTCCTCCATGCCACTTCCGTTAGTTCAGGCTCTAACACCGTCAAACTACAGGTGTGAAAAGATGAAAATGCCCTTAAGTTCAAATATGTTATTAATTTTTTTTGAGCATCTTAACGACTTCAAATGAAAAAACTCAAAACTAGAAAGTTGTAGATCTCGTCGAGATCTATAATTTTCATATAAAATTATTTTCATTTAATTCCAAAAAAAAAATATGATGATTTTTCTAAGATATATTAATCATATCAAATCATAATTTTTTTTTGCGAATTAAATGAAAATAATTTTTATATAAAATTATAGATCTCGGCGAGATCTACAACTTTCTAGTTTTGAGTTTTTTTATTTGAAGTCGTTAAGATGCTCAAAAAATTAATAACATATTTGAACTTAAGGGTATTTTCGTCTTTTCACACTGCAATTAACCAGCTTTTGAATAACTCCAAATAAAGTGGCCTAAAACGACTAAGTGGTATGGTTTTACCCGAAAAGTGAGGCGGACGTGGAAGATATTTTGCACCATGAATTTTTCTTGTACCCATCACATGCGGCATGCGCAAAATTGGGTAATCTTTTTATAATGGCATACACGTGAAAAAAAATCCGCATCGAGAACCTACCTCCAACGGTGGATCCGAAAAGGTAGCCAGCAGTCGTCCGATCGAGAAACCCGGTGTCACGAACGGCTAATGGCAGGAGTACTACTCATTTGGGCTGAGGCGCTTGGGCCGTGTTGACGCTCGGTGGAAGGATGGGCTTAGCCCAGTTGGGCTTTGCTATAGCGTAGAGTAGTATAAATATCGGATGCCTGTATTGAGACGGCATCGAACAGCTGTACTCTGAATCCTGTTATCCTGAGTAGCCGTCTTCCTCGCGGGGCTTGCCGCATTCCCTCCCGTTCTCCCCCTTCGAGTTTTGCTGTTCTTGCTATTTCTACCCCAAATTCCTCCCAAATCCCCAATTCCAGTTCCTAGTTCATTACAATTGGTATCCAGAGCAAGGCTAGGGAGGAAGATTTCACTGGAAATTTTTTCTGCTCCAAGTCGGGCTGGCGCCGAAGAAACGGACGACGAAGTTCGAGGCCCTGATGACGACGTCGCTCGAGGAGTTGGCGAAGCGCTTCGATGGCTTCGAGAACATGTTGAAGAAGTCCCTCGACAAGCTCAACAGCCTCGAGTCTTAGCGGACCACGGCGGAGGTATCGATGGGGTCTCTGTTCCAGAAGACGGACGCGGCGGCGACACGGTTACAGCAGTTGAAGTCCGCCCCGCCGCCACCACCGCCTCCGCACCCGGCTTCCTCTCCACCGTGCGGACCAGCACCGCCGCCGAACACGATTCACGGGGTCATCACCACCTTCGACCTCAACCATGCTCCGAATACGTCGATGCGTCCATCTGCATCGCCGTCGGAGCGGGCCTACGGGCACTGCGAGCAGGGCGGCGGGATCCTCGGACCCCGGCCGTCCAACTTCAATCAGGGTACGTGTCAAGATCCTCACCCCCAAGCGTTTGATTCTACCTACGATTCCAGGGATGTTGCGCCTAGACATCCCCCTTTACCAAAGTTGAGTTTCCCAAATTTGATGGTGATAATCCTCGTTTGTGGCGAGATCGGTGTGAGATGTACTTCGACGTCTATGCGGTGAGCGCGACCATGAAGACTCGATTTGCTGCGTTGAACTTTATTGGGGCAGCGGCTCTCTGGTTGCAGACTGTTGAGCGCAGAGGCAGAATCACTGATTGGGAGAAATTCTGTCAGTTGGTATTTCAGAAGTTTGACAAGGATCAATACAAGAATCAATTGAGACAGTTGGACTCTTTGCAGCAGACAGGATCTGTGGCTGAATATCAGAAGAAGTTCGAGCATCTTTCTCATGGGATTCTCTTGTACAATGAGTCTTATGATGACACCTACTTCGTCACAAGATTTGTTGCAGGTCTGAAAGAGGAGATTCGAGCAGCCATTGCCTTACACAGGCCAGCTGATGTTGATTCTGCAAGTGCTTTGGCAATTTTGCAAGAAGAGCTTGAGTTATCCAAGAAGAAATATGCTGCCAAGGATGGTCACAAGTCTGCATTCAGATAGGGACAGGCAGGTGATAAGCTCAAGTATAACAATGGGGATGTAGTTAAGCCAAAGGCACACAAGGCTGATATTGAAGATAAGCTGGAAACTCTGAAAGCATTTCGTAGGAGAAATGGCCTGTGTTTTAAATGTGGGGAGAAATGGAATCATACACATAAATGCCCAGCTCAAGTCCCGCTGCATGTATTGGAGGAATTATTTGATGCCCTGGAATTCTCTGAATCGGAATCTGGGAATGATCAGGAAACTGAAGAGGAGTCACCTGATACTATTCATGCTCTCCAGTCTGATCCATCAGTGAAAACTTCTAAAAGAAGAACCATTAAGATTCTGGGCAAGGTTGGCAAACAGCAAGTACTCATCCTGGTGGATTCTGGTAGCATTGGCACATTTGTGAGTGAGGAATTGGTGAAGAGGCTTAAGTTAGCTACAACCCCATGCACTGAGTCCACATTCAAATCTGCTGATGGGGGTTTAATGGTTTGCTTAGCCCAAGTTCCTGAACTGGTGTGGTATGCTCAAGGCCAAACTTTCAGTTCTACAGCCAAAGTATTACCACTTAAGTGCTTTGACATGATTATAGGAGAAGACTGGCTGGAAGAGGTGAGCCCAATGTGGGTGGATTGGAGAACTAAGAAAATGAAGTTCACTTATAAAGGCCAGAGAATCACCTTAACTGGAGTTATGGATGATATTGCTCAGTGCTCTCAAGTGAGTTATAAGAAGTTGAAAGGACTACTCAGACATGGAGCTATTACTCATTGCATTCAACTCAATTCAGTTCAGGATTCTGTAAATCATTCTGCAGTACCTGAGGAATCAATGATCTGTAGCATTCTGCACGAACCACAGATACCTGTCCTACAGAAGTGCAGCAAGTAGTGGATGAGTTCTCCCACTTATTTGCTGAACCAATAGCCTTACCTCCTAAGAGAGCTGCTGATCATGAGATCCCATTAATTCCTGGAGCACAGCCATTCAAAGTGAGGCCCTATAGGTATTCACCACTGCAGAAGACTGAGATTGAGAATCAGTTAAAGCAGATGCTGCAGAATGGCATTATCAGACCCAGTACAAGCCCTTTGCATCACCAGTCCAATTGGTCAAGAAAAAAGATGGGAGCTGGAGATTTTGTGTGGACTATAGGCAGCTCAACTCTGTTACAGTGAAAAACAAACATCCTATGCCCATAGTTGATGAACTATTGGATGAATTGGCTGGGGCTTCTGTATTCACTAAGTTGGATTTTAGATCTGGGTATCACCAGATTTGTATGGCTGAAGGACATGAGATGAAAACAACCTTTTCCACTCATAATGGATTGTTTGAATTTTTGGTTATGCCTTTTGGATTAACCAATGCTCCAGCAACATTTCAAAGCTTCATGAATGTGACATTTGCTGAGTTGCTGAGAAAAGGAGTGCTTGTATTCATGGATGGATGATATTCTGATTTACAGTAAGTCCCTAGAAGAGCATGTTGAGCTCTTAAGGAAGGTTTTTCAAATTCTGGACAAACATCAGTTCTTTGTAGTTCTTTGTCAAAAGATCAAAGTGCACATTTGCAAGGTCATCAATTGAATATTTAGGCCATGTGATATTTGCTCAGGGAGTGGCTACTGACCCAAGTAAGATCATAGCAGTTCAGCAGTGGCCAGCTCCAAATACTGTGAAAGAACTTAGGGGCTTTCTTGGCTTGACTGGCTATTACAGAAAATTTATCCAGCATTATGGTCTCATCAGTCAACCACTGACTCAGCTCCTCAAGAAGGGAGTCTCCTTCAGTTGGTCTCCAACAGCTCAGTTAGCTTTTGAAACATTGAAACAGAAATTGGTGCAAGCACCAGTCCTAGCACTACCAGATTTCAGCAAAGGCTTTGTGATAGAAGCTGATGCTAGTGACTTTGGGATTGGAGTTGTTCTTATGCAAAATGGACATCCAATAGCTTATCTGAGTAAGGCATTGGGTCCAAGAAACCAGGCTCTTTCAGTCTATGAGAAAGAGTGCATGGCCATATTATTAGCAGTGGAGAAATGGAACTCTTATCTCCATCATCATCAATTTATCATCAAAACTTATCATAAGAGCCTGCTATATTTGACTGAGCAGAGAGTCACCTCCAAACTGCAACATAAAGCTATGGTGAGGTTGATGGATCTAAATTTTATAATTCAGTATAAGCAGGGAGCAACCAACTCTGCAGCTGATGCTCTATCCAGATGCACTGATCATCAATCTGTGACTGCAATCTCTGAATGTGTTCCATCTTGGCTTCAGAAGCTTGCTCTGGGATATGAAGTTGATCCAGAGACTAAAACTCTTTTGATGGAGTTGAGTGTTACTGATGACAATCAGAAGGGTTTCACATTGCAGGAGGCATCATAAGGTATAAAGGTAGAGTTTGGGTGGGCAACAACAAGTTAGCTCAACAGCATATTCTTCAAGCCCTACACCACAGTGGAGTAGGTGGTCACTCTGGTATTCAAGGGACTTATCACAGAGTGAAGCAGTTATTTGCCTGGAATGGACTCAAGCAATCAGTAACTGAATTTGTCCAGTCTTGTGATATCTGTCAGCAAGCTAAAGCAGAACATGTCAAGAAGCCTGGACTGCTGTGTCCTATGCCTGTACCCAGTCAAGCCTGGGAGATTGTCTGCTTAGATTTCATAGAAGGACTGCCTAAGTCTGACAGGTACAATGCTATCATGGTAGTAGTGGACAAGTTTACCAAATATGGGCACTTTATCCCTTTGGCACACCCATTTACTGCCTTACAGATAGCTCAATTGTTCATGCAACACATCTATAAATTGCATGGCCTGCCTAAAGCTTTAGTCTCAGATAGAGAGAGTTTTCACAAGCTATGTTTGGCAAAAACTGTTCAAATTATCAGACACCAAACTACTCATGAGTTCCAGTTATCATCCACAAACCGATGGGCAAATGGAGAGGCTTAATCAGTGCCTAGAGGGTTTTTTGAGATGTTCAGTACACTCTTGTCCAAGGCAGTGGAATAAGTGGCTTTCCATGGCTGAGTTCTGGTACAACACCTCCTTTCAGTCTGTCTTGGGAAGAACACCATTTGAGGTGTTATATGGTTACACACCAAGAACTCTGGGAATTGCCAATCTTTAGCTTTGCTCGGTGCCAGACCTTGAACAGTGGATGCAGGAACGCGAGCTGCTTCAACGTCTGATTCAGGAACAGCTAGTGCGTGCCCAGCAAAGGATGAAAGCACAAGTTGACAAACATTGGTCTGAGCGTGAGTTTGCAGAAGGTGATTTGGTATATATCAAGCTGCAGCCTCACATTCAATCGTCTGTGGCCTTTCGGGACAATCACAAACTATCGTTCAAGTTCTATGGACCCTTCAGAGTTCTTCAGAGAATTGGGACAGTGGCTTATCGCGTTTATCTGCCTCAGTCAGCAAAGATTCATCCAGTGTTGCATGTATCCCAGCTTAAGCGTCATGTACCACCATCGGCTCAGGTCAGTTCAGATCTTGATTCAGTCTGTACTGATCCATTTCAAGCTTTGGTGCCCACAAAGGTGTCAGCAGAGCGGCTACTTCCTCGAGGTGCGACCACTATCAAGCAACTGTTGATCCAGTGGGGTGATCTTCCTCCAGAGATGGCGACATGGGAAGAAGAAATTGATGTCAAGCGTCGTTACCCGGAATCATCAGCTTGGGGACAAGCTGAAACACAAGGTGGCGGGAATGTCACGAACGGCTAATGGCTGGAGTACTACTCATTTGGGCCGAGGCGCTTGGGCCGTGTTGACGCTCGGTGGAAGGATGGGCTTAGCCCAGTTGGGCTTTGCTCGATAGCGTAGAGTAGTATAAATACCGGATGCCTGTATTGAGACGGCATCGAACAGCTGTACTCTGAATCCTGTTATCCTGAGTAGCCGTCTTCCTCGCGGGGCTTGCCGCATTCCCTCCCGTTTTCCCCCTTCGAGTAATGCTGTTCTTGCTATTTCTACCCCTAATTCCTCCCAAATCCCCAATTCCAGTTCTAGTTCGTTACACCCGGCTGTCCTCCGATGTGATGAAGCGATCGAGCAACCGACCCACCCCGCGTGCACGACGCGTCGCGACTGACTCCCGAGTGGTCCTGGCCCACACGAGGTGGGGAGTGGGACACGGGCACACGGGACGGCGAGAGGTCGGTCTACCCGGCCGGTCTACGTCACGGCGGCGACCGATCGGCCAAAGCTCGCGCGGACCCAGCCGGAAAGGGACATCGACGAATTCAGTTCAGGGCGTGGGATGGTGGACGGCAGCGTAGAGCACGGGGGAGAGAGGAGGGGGCGTTGGATAGTGGGTGGCAACGTCAAACATGTCATGGCGGTGGCGTGCTGGTGGAGGCGGTTCCGGGCCTTCAGCTAATCAGCTGGTTCCGGCCCGGAATAATGGTGCCGGCGTGCGCACGAAATTCTGTCCATGCCTCCATGGAGGCGGGCAGGCACTGCGCCTGGCATTGAAGGCAGACGTCTGACTCGATCCGTGCAAGCTGCAAAGCGCTGTGAGTGAACAGCAGTAGCACGGACGCACCAGTGGTGGTGGTGGAGACGCCGGACGGGACGGAGCATCTTCCAAGCCGGGGCAGAGCGCTGTCGAAGCAGCAGCCAGCAGCAAAGCTCGTGGCGCTTTGTCCCACTCGCCAGCAGCAGCAGTAGGGCTTTCGCCGGAGCCGCTGGTGGGAGAGCACACAGAGCCGTGGGAACTCGGTTTGCTGCGCCGATAATTGCGCGACGTCAATCGCGGGCTCGGCTGCTTCTGCACGGACGGGAACGGGTTCGCGGTAGAAGAAAAGTACTTTGCGGTTGACGCCGGGCAGGCGGCGGCGTCCACGTCGGGCCCGCCGCTTTCGGGGACAAACAAATGGCGGGTCAAGCAAGTTAGGCGGCGTCGCACGGCTCGGCTCGGCGCCCCAGTCCACGCCGGGTGGACGGAACCGGGCCGCCCAGCGCCGCGTGACTCATGGCTGCATCCAGAAGACACCGACCGCGCTCGGGGGCGTCCACACACGTGCCCCCCCGGCCGCCGATCCCGATTCCCATCCTCTGGCGCGCGGCCGCAGGGGTGGGCGGGCCGGCGGCTCCAGACGCGCCGGCATGTCGCGACCCCGACGACGCATGTGAGCGCGCTCTCGAGGAACCGCTTTGGACGTGCGGTTGGAGGAGTGTCCGTGGGCTCTCCGTACCCGGCAGCGGCCACGCAGGGGCAATGCCGCGGCGGCATGTGGATTGGGGGTTCACCACAGGATGTCAGGTGGACAGCGGACACGGACACTGCACTGAATGATGTGCCACTCTATCAAACCAATCTTATCCTGCACCAGCAGCAGCCAATGTTGGGGGCAGTGATCAACAGTGCCATTCCGGCACGATTTGGAGCAGCATTTCTTTATTTTTATTACATTACACAGCTGATGATGCACACAGGAACTGACGAACACCTTGCTGCCTATTGCTACCCCACATTCTGATACTACAGGCAGTATATACATATATATATATATATATATACAAGTTCAAAAATATATATATATATACATCTAGCATTGGAGAGTACTGGTCTATAGTATATTACAATGTACAAGGCTGCAAAACTTAGTCGCGGTTACGAAGGCTGTAAGTAGCAGCTATCTATCTTACTGGTACCACTGCTAGTAACTAGCAACTGTAACTGCAAGGTAACAAAACCTGAAAACAAGCAAACTATAGCTGCACCGCTAGGTAGGTGTGTTCTTACCGCTCTCGCCCTTCGCTGGCATTTGCGCCGCCGGCTGTTATTCCCTTCTCTTCTGGGCTATGTCATGTAGTACAGAGTGCATTGCCTAGGCGCTGACAGAGAGTCCTAGAACTCGACAATGAGGCTGCCGAAGGGCGACCGGTGCGGGACGCCCTTCCGGCGCTTGTTCCCTGGGCGGCGGTGGCTGGCAGAGGTCGGCGGGGGGGTCGACGGCAAGAAGCTCTGCACGACGCTGCTCTTGTCGCTGCTGGCGCCGCTGGTGCTGGTGCACGAATCCTCCGAGTCAGAGCGCACGTCCTTGACCTTGAGCGCTGCCCTCTTCTTGTTCCCGCCGCCGCCGCCGCCGTGCTGCTTCTTCTTGGGACGGTAGCCACGGGCCGTGCCCACTATCTGCGCGGTACCAAAAAAAAAGGACGACGACGACGCGTTAGGTGGCGTCTAGAAACGCGCAATGCGATGTGCACACGCAGCTCGTAGGAGTACCTTGCAGCCGAGGGAGCAGAAGCGGAAACAGTCGAGGAGGCTGCGCCCGCAGACCTCGCAGGTGTTGGTGACGCCCTTGCCCGGGCGGGGCTGCGGCCGCTCGTTGAGGAACACCACGCGCGCGCTGTTGATGATGTACGTCTGCACGCCGGCGATGTCCAGCACCTTCTGTATCTCCGACACCCGGATCACGTCGTGGTACGACGACCTCCGTATCTGATACAGACCAACCCATCCGTGACGGGGAGCGCGTGTCCGTGAGTCAGTCAGTTCAGTCGGTTGCCAAGAAAAAAAAAACAAAACACGAACACCCAAAGAGATCGATGGAACAGGGAATGTGCAGCAGGAGGCATTGGGGAGGAACGCAGCCGCCTGAGCTGCATCAGTGCGAGCTCTACTGACCTGGATGGAGTGGTGGTCGCGGTGGTGCGCGAGGCAGAGGGAGCAGAGCGCGCCGTTCATGCAGTCGAGGCAGTACATGTTGCACTCGCTCTTGTGCGCGTCCGCGTGGATCCTGCATTGGACGAAGAAGCTCGTGGACAGCAGCGGCTTCAGCCACGGCGGCCACCGCTGGTTCTCGGCGTCGTCGTCGTCGCACTCGCCGCCTCCCTGCAAGCGCGGACCGTGCACACACATTCAGTCCAAAAGCATCGCCGCCGAAATCAATCAAGAACCAAGAAACAGAGCGACACAAGAACAAGAGGAATCAATCAATTACCATGGCGCCTCTGTTCTTGAGTCCGAGAGGCGTCGCGTGATCTATTGCCATCTGGTCGCCGCGGAACCGAGGAGAATGCGTGCGAGTGGAAGGGAGAATTGAGAGGAGAAGCCTTCGCGGGGAAGGAGTCTGCCGGGGTTGCGGGCGGCTGCGAGTGTCAAGTCTTTGTAGACGGGGGAAAAGACGAAAGGTTTTGGAACACAGGCAGCGAGTAAACTAAAATACTAGAGGAGACTTGGGGAGGTGCTTGATGCTGGCGCTTGATAGAGAGCTCTGGTTCGTTCTTATCGCCTCGGTGCGCTTCCGGGCTGTCGCTGAAAGCCTGAACCCGATAAGCGTGGTACAGTGCATGTGTAACATATGAATAATGATGGGCTTAAAAACCTAGGCCTTAGTTTAGATTTTAAACTGTCTCGTACTGCCTTG